TGATCACTGAGGAAGGCTTTCTTATCTCTCCTTGCTATTCTTTGGAACTCTGCATTCAAATGGGTATATCTTTCCTTTTCTCCTTTGCTTTTCTTTTCCCCTCTTTTCACAGCTATTTGTAAGGCCTCCTCAGACAGCCATTTTGATTTTTTGCATTTCTTTTTCTTGGGGGTGGTCTTGCTCCCTGTCTCCTGTACAATGTCATGAACCTCCGTCCACAGTTCATCAGGCTCTCTGTCTATCAGATCTAGTCCCTTAAATCTATTTCTCACTTCCACTGTATATCATAAGGGATTTGATTTAGGTCATACCTGAATGGTCTAGTGGTTTTCCCCACTTTCTTTAGTTTAAGTCTGAATTTGGCATAAGGAGTTCATGATCTGAGCCACAGTCAGCTCCTGGTCTTGTTTTTGCTGACCGTGTATAGCTTCTCCATCTTTGTCTGCAAAGAATATAATCAATCTGATTTCAGTGTTGACCATCTGGTGATGTCCATGTGTAGAGTCTTCTCTTGTGTTGTTGGGAGAGGGTGTTTGCTATGACCAGTGCGTTCTACTTGGCAAAACTCTTATTAGCCTTTGCCCTGCTTCATTCTGTACTCCAAGGCCAAATCTGCCTGTTACTCCAGGTGTTTCTTGACTGCCTACTTTTGCATTCCAGTCCCCTATAATGAAAAAGACATCTTTTTTCGGTGTTAGTTCTTAAAGGTCTTGTAGGTTTTCATAGAACCATTCAACTTCAGCTTCTTCAGCATTACGGGTCGGGGCATAGACTTGGATTACCGTGATGTTGAATGGTTTGCCTTGGAAATGGACAGAGATCATTCTGTTGTTATTGAGTTGCATCCAAGGACTGCCCTAAAAATCCAGCATATCCCACCTATTTATTCCTCCCTCCTTCTCTCAGCTGGTGGCACCCACTGACCATTTTACTGTCTCCATAATTTTTCTTTTCCAGAATGTCACATAGTTGCAATCAAAAGGTATGTAGCCTTTCCAGACTGGCTTCTTTCACTCCCTGCTGTGCCTTCCATACCTTTTCATGACTTGATGGTTCATCTCTTTTTAGGACAAATAATGTTTCATTTTCCAGATACACCACAGTGTATTTATCCATTCATTTATTAAAGGGTATCTTAGTTAGTTTCAACTTTTGTTACAAACAAAAGGCCAGAGGCATACATATGCACGTTTGTTTTTGATTTTTTTGGCTGTGCTGTGGGTTGTGGGATCCTACTTTCCTGACCAGAAATGAGCCCAGGCCCACAGCAGTGACAGCGCTGAGTCTAACCGCTGGACTGCCGGGGAATTCCCTGGCATGCACAGGATTCATGTGGATTCGTTTCCAACCTGTTTGGAGTAGGCTACTTGGTTCATGTGGTTATGGGTGTGTATACTTTTGAAAGAAACCCCTAAGAAACCCCCAAACTGTCTTCCTAAGTGGCTGTACCAATTTTGTGTTCCCATCAACAGAAAATGATGGTTCCCATTGTTTCACATCCTCACCAGCATTTGGTGGTGTCAGTGTTTTGGATTTTAGGCATCCTATCGGGTAGGTAGAGGTACATTATTCTTCTTTTCATTTGCAGTTCCCTAGTAACCTATGAGGTTCAGCATCTCTTGGCATGTTTATCTGCCATCTGTGTATCTTTGATGAGTTGACCATTAAGATCTTTTGTCCATTTTTTAATTGGATTGTTTTGTCTTCCTGTTGGTAAGAGTTCTTTGTATATTCTGAATAAAGTTCATATAATTTTCACATGTCACATTCTTTCGACTTCTCTCACCAGTTTTAAAATGTAAAATCATTTGTAGCTTGTGAGCCATACAAGGACATGTCAGGAAGCAGAGTCAACTCATAGGTCACAGTTTGTCTTAGAAGTTTGGGCTTTCTTCTTAGAACCACTGGGGAATCAGCCAATGGTTACCTGCAGCAAAGAGATGTGGTCTGGTGCACACTTTATCACTCTGCCTCTACTGAAGTGAGGGCAGGAGCAAGGTGTATGAGGACGCTTGGGGCAAAGACACTTATTAGAGTTTGTTGCAGTGATCCAGGTGAGGGGTGGGGCTGGCTTAAACTAATTAAGTTTTGATGCAGCTGAGTAGAGCTGGGTTCTAAAATCCACTGTGGACAGTGACTGCAGCCATGAAATTAAAAGATGTTTGCTCCTTGGAAGAAAAGGTATAACAAACCTAGACAGCATATTAAAAAGCAGAGACATCACTTTGCTGACAAAGGTCCGTCTAGTCAAAGCTATGTTTTTTCCAGTGGTCATGTACGGATGTGAGAGTTGGACCATAAAGAAGGCTGAGCACCAAAAANACCTCGGGCCGGACATGGAGGACCAGAGGAGGGGAGACTCAGAGATGATCCCGAGATGTCTGCCTCAGCCAGTGAGTCAGTGCTGCTGCGCTTCCCTGAGTCAGAGGGTGCGGGTGAGTGGTGCGGGTGGGTGGGATGAGGGGCCGTGACTCATCCACGAGGGGCTGTCAGCTGTCTGCTGGTTGAGAGCTCAAGAGACAGCTAAAGGTTTTGAAATCAGCAGCTTATTAATTATAAAGCCATAGGAGGGAGTGAAATCCCTCCTGGCTGTGGGCGTCGAGAGAGAAGCAAAGGGGAAGCAGGAGGATGGCGCGAGGAAGATGGAGAACAAGAAGGGAAGAGGAGAGCGGGGCGGGAGGGACGCCAGGGGGCAGGCAGCGCAGCGGGCGGGGTGGAGGCCGCCGGGGCGCGGGGAGCGCGTGTCCAGAGCTGGAAAGTGGAGCAAGAAACGGAGAGGCAGGGCCGCTCAGAGCTCAAGCGGGGGCCTGGGAACCAAGACGACACTTCGGACCCAAAGAGGGCAAGGGTGCTCACAGCGTCTCCACACGGGCTCTTTGCATGACCAGCCAGCAACAGATCGTTGTTGCTGTCCAGTCACTAAGTCAGGTGCGACTCTCTGCAGCCCCAGGGACTGCAGCACGCCAGGCCTCCCTGTCCATCACCAGCTCCCGGAGCTTACTCAAACTCATGTCCATTGAGTCGGTGATGCCATCCAACCGTCCCATTCTGTCCCGTCCCCTTCTCCTCCTGCCCTCAATCTCTCCCAGCATCAGGGTCTTGTCTGATGAGTCGGCTCTTCGAATCAGGTGGCCAAAGTATTGGAACTTCAGCTTTAGCAACAGTCCTTCCAATGACACCCAGGACTGATCTCCTTTAGGATGGACTGGTTGGATCTCCTTGCAGTCCAAGGGACTAGAGATTAGAGGTGAAATAATCACAAGGTTATTGTGCTGATTAAAGTTGTGTGAAACTTGTCTCCCTCGAAAGGCACAGGGAAAAGACACAGACTCCCGAGGCCGCGTTGTTTCTGTTAACAGCTTTCCTACTCGTGTTCCGTGAAGCGAACCCTGAGTAGTGCCCTCCCAGCCACTTCCACACTGTGCTTCTGGCTGTTGCCCCCCCAGGTGGCACATTCTCAAGCCTGGTTCTCAGGTCTTCCCAGGAGTTCTGTGAGTTACCTGATATACGTTCAGTAAATTCCTTTTCTATTTATGTCATCAAGGAATTGTTCCTTTGCTTACTAATAGAACTCTGACTGATACAAGTCCCTGATCTTGTCCTACAAAATAACAATATAAAAATCTCCAGGCTCCTATTGGATAAGTTAAGAAATGATTTATTCATTAACATGCCATCTTCATGTCAACCCAGAAAGGAAGATGGGGCTTGCCTGACGGCCCAGTGGTTAAGACTCTGGGCTTCCAGCGCTTTAGTGCAGTTTCCATCCCTCATCAGGAAACTAAGATCCAGAATAAAAAATAAATAAAAATGAAAAGTAATAAATAAATTTTAAAATAAAAAGTTTAATAAGAAAAATTTTAATAAAATAGTTATTAAAAATAAAATTACTGAATAAGCAAATAAATTTTTTAAGTAAAATTTTCAAAACTTTATTTTTAAAAAAAATGAAGCCTGATCTCTCAATGGGAAGAGCCCCCCAAATCCTGGACCATCTTTAATCTGCCCCATTGAGAATAGGGAGCTGGTGAAGCACTTCTTTTTTCTTTTTCGGGCTATGTGATTTCTTAAAAACATTTTTAATGTGGAAGAATACAAACAAGGGCGTTAGAAATCATCCCCAAGTCCACTACCTAGAAAAGACGCCATAACATCGTGAGGAATTCCCTTTCGACATCCTTGAAGCTCCACCTTCCCAGACTCTCCATATATTTCCTCACTTTTCTGCAGAAGGACTTTAAATAGGAAAGATACATTATTAAATTTGCATGTCTAAACATTACTTCGGCTTCAGTGCCCGGTACAGCAGGCGGCAAACCAGGCGCTAAGGCTCCGCTGCGCAGGGGGGTGGGTGTAGCTTTCCAGCAGCTTCTCCCCACTTAGATTTTTGGACAATTCATGGCTTCCCAAGTGGCTCGGCGGTAAAGAATCCACCTACAATGCGGGAGACGCAGGTTCGATCCCTGGGAAGATCCCCTGGAGGCGGAAATGACAGCCCACTTCGGTGTTTTTACCTGGAGACTCCCACGGACAGAGGAGCCTGCTGGGCTACAGTCCCTGGGGCAACAAGGAGTCAGACGTGAGCTAGCAACTAACCACCAACAATGGACAATTGGCTTTAACAGTACTATACGGAGTGCTTTGCAGATGCAACGAGCACAAGCCCAGTCCAGAAATCGGCTGGAGAAGGAGCCCCCCGAAAATATGTTTCTCACTCACACTACAAATCCACCCCAGATGGCCTGCAATTCCGTTCCGTCTTATCTCCACATCAGACCTCAGTTTTTAAATGTGGCCTCTGTCTAGAACATCATGGTAGAGGGAAAAAACCAGCTCTTAAAGCTTCCGTAGAGGAGGGGCCCAGAGCGGTTCCTCTGGCGGTTCGCTGGTGCAAGCACATCTTGGACCAGGGAGGCTGGAAACAGAGCCAAGAAGACTCAGGCCGGCCTGCGGGCCCCTGTGATCTGGTCTCTGTCGGCCCCAGATCTCAGCCCTTCCGCTTCCTGCCCACACGCCCTCGGGCCACGCGGATGTCCTTGCTGCTGTTCAAACGAGGCAGACCCCCCCCCACCCCCNGTCTTCTCCAACACCACAGTTCAAATGCATCAATTCTTTGGCACTCAACTTTCTTCGTAGTCCAGCTCTCACATCCATACATGACCACTGGAAAAACCATAGCCTTGACTAGATGGATCTTTGTTGGCAAAGTCATGTCTCTGCTTTTTAACATGCTGTCTAGGTTGGTCACAGCTTTTCTTCCAAGGAGCAAGCATCTTTTAATTTCATGTCTGCAGTCACCATCTGCAGTGATTTTGGAGCCCAGATAGTCTTAGTTATCTTTTTTTTTTAATTTTTAAAAACAGAACAATTTTGGGGGCCACACTGCACAACTGGCATGTGGGATCTTACCCGGGATCGCACCTGTGCCCCCTGCAGTGGGAACACAGAGTCCTAACCTCTGGACTGTCAGGGAATTCCCCCAGGCTTCTAACTCAAGCTTAATTCTGGAGCAAGGGCCATCCTGTGTAGTCACTTTCCTCCATGAGCATACTTTATTCTTTGAATGTGAAGACAGAGGGGGAGTACTTATTTAAAAGAAGAAGAAAAAGAGAAAAAGGAAGAGGAGAAAAGAGGGGAGGGAGAAAGCGGGGGAGGAAGAGAGAGAGGAAGAGAAAGAGGAAGAATCTCTTTGGAATCAGGAGCCCATGTCTCCCGACAGCATAGCCCGTTGATCTCCTTGCCGTCCCAGGGACTCTGAATGCCTGTTTACTTTCACAGGACAGTCCCCTGGAAAGCCCTAAAGCTCTCAAGCCTCCACAGCCACACAGACATTTCTAAACCTCATGGGCTCTTTCTGCCTGGTCCCAACATCAGCTGTGAAATGGATTGCAGAGGTGGCTGCTTGCTGAGAGAGTCTATTCTGTCAAGTTGACCAATCAACGGTTCACTGAAGCACAGAACATGTCNGTCTATTCTGTCAAGTTGACCAATCAACGGTTCACTGAAGCACAGAACATGTCAGACTTGATCACTGAGCTTCAGGAATGTTTCTTGAGAACCAATGGAACCAACGTAATTTTTGTATCTGAAGCTCTTCAGATTTTGCAAGCATAAGAAGAGTTCCTCCCTTACTGCCCACAGCCTCTCATCTCCAAAAGCTGCGGATGCAAAGTGAAGTCTCTGCTTCTGTGGTTCAGGCGTTACCACCGTTTTACAAACACAGAGAGGGGACTAGGGCTTAGAAGGTCCTATTTCCAGAGTAAAAGATCAAAGAGGTCAAAGGAACAAGTGGTCACTGAACGGGAAGTATTTTTAGAAGGCTTAACTCACAGAAGTAACAGATGTCTTCTTCCTGCTCTGCCCTCCCTCTCCACAAAGCAGACCCACTGCTGTCTTAATACTACATCATGCAAGGATGATGCAGTCACGCCGAGGTCTACTGTGATATCCTTGTACGGACAGCTGAAGCTGGCCTGAGAGGTCAGCAGTCACCCAGCTCTTTGTGGAATGGAAGTCAGGCACGGTCTCCCACTCCCCTCCTCTGCTGAGCTTGCCTTCGACTCCAGACAAACAGTGCCATGTGCAGAAGCGACAGCTCTTCTCCACGATGATTTGGTCGGTGAAACAATCCGATTGGCAGAGAGGCAGCCCACCATCTACCCTTGAATCGAGCAAGCAAACCATAAAAGTTCAGGCTGTTCTTTGAGGCCTTGGAGAAACAGATTCACCCATGATGTCTTCATGTATTCCAGGAATTTCTTACAAACTAGACCACTAATTTGTTAGTGTTTTGCTGTATCATGATGGAGAACACTGTCCCTTTATTTTATTTTATTGAAGTACAGTCCATGGGGTCAAAAAGAGTCAGACAGGACTGAGCGACTAACAGCTTCACTTTCACAGTTGATTTACAATGTCGTGTTAGTTTCTGCTTACATCAGAGTGATTCGGTTATAATACACGCATATTCCCTTTCACATTCTCTTCCGTTATGGCTTGTCACAGGATACTGAGTGCATTTCCTGTTTCATACGGCAGGACCTTGCTGCTTCGCCGTCTTACATAAAATAGTTTGCATCTGCTCCTGCTAAACTCCCGTCTATCCCTCCCGCTTCCCCTTCCCCCCTTGGCAACCACAAGTGTGGTCTCAGCTGGAGGACGCTGTTCTGATGATCAGCCTTTTCTTGCTAGGTTGCATCCTCAGTCGTGTCCAACTCTCTGTGACCCTATGAATGCCCATCAGGCCCCTCTGTCCCTGGAATCTCCCAGGCAAGAGTACTGGAGTGGGTTGCCATTTCCTCCTCCAGGGGATCTTCCCGACCCAGGGATCAGACCCGAGTCTCCTGTGTCCCCTGCATGGCAGGCAGATTCTTTACTGCTGAGCCACAGGGGAAGCAATGAGTTTTCAAAACTGATCCAAGTTGAGCATCCTTAA